ACAGATGAGCTCTTAGTCAGCAGTATTTCTCTCCTTTGCAATCCCTAACTCATCAAGCAAAGGGGTTCTCAAGACCTAACAGAGCTTAACCTCCCCTCTCACCCTGCTGATTGGAGGGAGCCCCTGGCTCGAGGATCTTATGAGCCCTGCTGAAAAGTCCAACCTAAAACCAGCCAACCATCCTACGCTGGTATAAGCTGGATTTTGTCAGCAGGGAGCTCAGGTCTCTGTCCTGAAACAGCATGCTAAACATGCTTCATAATCAGTTATCAGCTGTTTATATATTTATATATATATCTGTTTCTCTGTCTGCTCAGCGATCACCATCGATCAGGTGAGGCTGACTGTTCATCCAGGTAATGAAGTGGTCAGTGGCACTAATCTGATCCTGCGCTGTGAGGCTGATGTCAGTCACAGCCTGTCCCGTCCACCCACGCACTCCTTCAGCTTCCTGCATAACGGACAGGTGGTCTACTCCAAAAACATCAGCGCCTCTGTGGTGGAGCGCACCTTCTCTCCGGCCCGCGTCTCCAACTCAGGCCAGTATGAATGCACTGTCCGCATTGAAGACAAGGCCAAGACAAGTAACAGGCAGACACTGCGCATCACAGGTGAGCAGAAACACTGCGTTTATGGATAAAACCTGACTTAAAATAAAATTTGGACAGGGTGGCACGGTGGCTCAGTGGTTAGCACTGTTGCCTCACAGCAAGAAGGTCACTGGTTTGAGTCCCGGCTGGAAAAATTGGCATTTCTGTGTGGAGTTTGCATGTTCTCCCCATGTTGGCGTGGGTTTCCTCCGGGTGCTCCAGTTTCCCCCACAGTCCAAAGACATGTGCTATCGGGGAACTGGGTAAACTAAATTGGCCATAGTGTGTGTGTGTGTGTGTGTTAATAAGAGAGTGTATGGGTGTTTCCCAGTACTGGGTTGCAGCTGGAAGGGCATCTGCTGCATGAAACATATGTCAGAATAGTTGGCGGTTCATTCCGCTGTGGTGACCCCCCTAGGCTGTAGGAATATTAATGAATGGTCAGGATCAACAAATGCAAATAGCATTTTGGGTACTACCCTGAAACTGTGTTGCTTATGTGACTTATTATGGAGCGGTAAGTGGTTAAAAAGTGTGTTTAACCCCCTGCAGGCCTTCAGACGCCCACGATGAAGGTGAAGTCTGACATCGTGTCTGAGGGGGAAGACATCATTGCCACATGCAGCGCAGCAGAGGAGACGGGCACGCTGATGTTTCTCTTCTACGAGGACAATCAGGAGGTCAAGAGTGAAGTTAGTAACACCAACACCATTTCGATCACGCTGACCATGAAGAAGCTCACTGATATCTATCTGCACTGCGCCTACATGGTTGTAAGGCACCCCACTGCAGGCTTCTCCAACAACAGCAACACCGTCAAAGTCTTTGTACGAGGTAACGTAATACTGCTTGCCTAAAGACAATTGTTAATGGCATTTAGTGTGTTCACACTTGTGGTTTGGTGGTCTTGGTTCGTATTGTGTTGAGGAGGAAAGAAATGTGTACGTTCATTGCCATTCATGAGATCAAATTAAAAAGAAACTGGCACAGCAAGTAGCACATTCCCCTCACAGCAAGAAGGTCGCTGGTTTGAGCCTCGGCTGAGTCAGTTGGCATTTCTGTGTGGAGTTTGCATGTTCTCACTGTGTTGGTGTGGGTTTTCTCCGGTTTCCCCCAAAGACATGTGTTACAGGTTAATTGGGTAAGCTAAATTGGCCATAGTGTGTGTGTGTGTGATTGAGTGTGTATGGATGTTTCCCAGGGATGTGTACAACTTGGGCTCATTGTGGAAACGTAGCTCCCCCAACGTTTCTGGAGGCTGCGAAATACGTCCCGAGAGGTATCGAAATCGAAAAGGCGCCTGAGGATGCTGTCGAGCGACCGTCTGTCCGACTGACGGACTGAATGACTGAACGATCAACTGGGCGACCGGCCAATTGGCCAATCGGCTGACCCAGCCACCCTCCTCCTACTCCTTCCATAAACCCAAGCAATGATTTACAAAAGCCGTCCAGAAAAGAAAAGCAAAAGCCCTCATCCGATATTTACCGAATTTTCAGGATTTCGCCCTACCTCGCCCCTTCATGAACTCATTCGCTTTTATTCTTTGGATTCTGTTTTTCATCTTAACTGATTTGCGGAACCGCCCTTCCCCGGACTCGAACCCGGTCGTTGCTGCGGCCGGCTCCACCTTCTCCAGGCCTCCGCTCCGCCGACGTAACACTACGCCTGGGTTGGATGTGTAGCAGCTGGACGGGCATCCGCTGCGTAGAACAGATGCTGGATAAGTTGACGGTTCATTCCGCTGTGGCGACCCCTGATTAATAAAAGGACTAAGTGGAAAAGAAAATGAATGAATGATTTTAAAAAAAGCAATAAAATGTTTTTAAGACACATTTTGGAATGCACGATGCTCTACAATGGGCAATTCTTCCATCCCACACTGGGAGATAAGGAAAAACATTGCCCATACCTGTATTGAACTGTAATGACCATCATCACAAATATGACCTAAGCTTTTTGTGCTTTTTAAGATTTCATATTTTTAGATTGTCCAGTTTTGGGGTATTTTGCCACATAGCAAAATTTCTCTCCCACATACAGTGAATTACAGTACATGACTGGACTAAGTCTGGCTTCTCGACAAGGGCCAAAAATGGGCCATAACTGGGCCATGTCTTAGCCAAGTAATGCCTAGTTCAGACTGGGTGATTTTAGCCCCGATTTTGGCTCGCCGACAGGTTTTGAGAAATCACCGACAAATGCCTGAAATCACAGGCAAATCGCTGCTCGTGCACGTGAGTGACAATCACACAGTTTGAACTATCAAAGACGCGATCTGAGAAAATCACCAATGAGTCGCCGATGTGTGTGAGATATTTGGTGTGCTAAATATCTGGAGCTGTCGGCGTTTCAAATCATGCCGTGTGAATTGAGTTTTGACTGAAAATACCATCAGCGATCGCCTACAGCCAATGAGAGAGCAGCATTCACTTGTGTGTGCGTGTGTGTGTATACCTGCTGCAGGCCAGCGGGAGGCTGGGGGAGAAGTTAAAAGCGCTCTTTTTCGGTTTATTTGGACCCACGAAATGGAGGAAAAACTAGTGGAGGTTTGACTCAGGAGCACCCGTGTCTGTTTGACGTTTCATACAGAAAGAAATTAGTTTATTAACAACTTAAGTTGAGGAAAAATAGCTAATTCCCTTTAAACCCAGGTGAGCAAATATGTACATGTTCTACCCCATTAAAGGCTTCTTTCTCATTATGTAGTTAATAACAAAAGATATACGACGTGTTTTTGGCTGTGAGACGTAGTTTGGACAAAGTTGTCGGCGATTCTTCCTATAGTAAAGTCATGCAATGTGAAAGTCCCTGTCGCCGATCCATCTTGCAGTGTAAACAAAGCAGCGACGAAACGCTAGCCCAGATAGTCAAGCAGTGTGAAAACATCTGTGACACGACTACTTTGGAAATCATGCAGTCTGAACTCGGCATAAGCTGAACTGGACCAGATGAGGCCCATGTTTGGCCATTGTCTGGAAGCCAGACTTGGGCCCAATCCCAATTCTATTTTTGTACCCCTACCCCTTCCTCTTGGCCCTTACAATCAAGTACAACCATTTCGGAACACTCAAAAGTTGTTTACAATTTTTTATTTGGGGGGGGGTGGGGGGGGCACCTCCTCATCCATCACCAGAGTGCATCATTCACCTGGATGATGCGACGGCAGCCATATTGTGCCAGACTGCTCACCACACACCAGCTGATTGGCGGAGAGGAGACCATGATGAAGCCAATTATACTATGGGGATCGTTTGGAGGCCAACGGCCCTACACCCCTACACTTTTTCAAAGAACACCCTGGAATTTTTAATGAGCACAGAGAGTCAGGACCTCAGTTTAATGTCTCATCTGAGTAACAGCACACACTGAGCAGTATAGAGTCCCCATCAATATACTGGGGTATTAAGGCTCACATAGACCACAGGTTGAGCACCCCCTGCTGGTCTCACTAACACCACATCCAGCAGCAACCTAGCTTTCCCATGAGGTCTCCCATCCAGGTACTGACCAGGCACAGCCCTGCTTAGCTTCAGTGGGCGACCATCTGAGAGTTGAAGAGAGCTAGCTGCCGGCTAGTTAAGTTGCAGCAATAAAATTACAAGATGCAGCAGGTAGTTAAAACACAATGTGCCTTGGAGCAATGCATGGGAATCATCCACTGCCAACAGAAAACAAGCATTACATTTTTACAATCATAGCGCTTTACTGATGAAGAAGTGTGCAAATGTGCAACATGCCTGTAAATTCCTTAACAGGAATCACTCACAGTTTTCATTTTAACCACATCAAACCTGCCAAGTGTGAACACAAAAACCCAGCCAATCAGAAAGGATGTCTGTTGATTTGAGTGTTTTAATCCAGCCATTTATAGAGTTCACCCAAGGCTGCTCATCATTGGCATTAACCACACATTTTAATCCATAGATCTTAAAGAGCTCATCCCACAGATAAGCTTTTCACCCAGTGCGAGTGTGGTCGAGGGCGAACGGGTGGCGATCAAATGTGAGGTTCAGGATCGCTCAGCTCTGGAGATGTTTCTCACCAAAGACGGCACCATACTTCACAGATTTCACACATCCTTTACATACAGCCTCACGGTGAGAGAGGAGGATTCTGGAGATTATGTGTGCAAAACCGAGAAAGGGAGCGTGCAGAAGAAGGTAGAAAATCGACTCAGTGTAACAGGTAACTAACAACCAATATACATTCTACAAAGGGCTTTCATGCTGGGTAGTTCTAAGAACTCAGTTAAAGGAACCAATCGTCAGGCCCATCCCTTGACACTAAATTTTTCCCTCGACATCATGTGTGGCCTTCAACAAAACAACTGGGCAGTGGTGTTAAACTCAATTCCTAGAAGGCCGCAGCTCTGTAGAGTTTAGTTCCAGCCATGCTTCAGCACACCTACCTGTAGGTATCTAACAAGCCTAAAGCACTCAATTAGTGCTGAATTAGAGTTTGACACCTGTGACCATGTTTTTTCTGTGTGTCGTGAGTTTCATAATAATACAAATGGATTAACAAAATTGATTTATAGTGGGGAAAAAAAGCAAGACTAATGTGTAGGGCAGTCAACCCTGCTCCTGGAGAGCTACCTTCCTGCGGAGTTCAGGTCCAACCATGATCAAGCACACCTGAACCAATTTATTAGGACCTAAACAGTACTTGATAATTACAGGCAGGTGTGTGGCTAAGTATTAAGCTGCGGTCACACTAGAGTTTGTGTGTGTGAAATTCTGTCGTACGGCGCTGCGAGAAGGGGCGGGATTAAACAAGATTATTAGACATTAAAAAAGCGATCGATTGCTCCATAGTTTTAATTTCTGTCCAGAGAGGTGTTTTGATCCTTGATTGGTCTCACGCAGTCAAGTGATGCAATAGTATCTGGATGCAGCCTTTATGGTGCAAGCTGAGACTGCATTACTCAGCGATGCAATGTCAGACACAATGCACTCAAATGGAGCTAGTGACGTCACTGTGACGGGTAGGGTTAGGGGTGGGGTTAGGTGAGCCCATTAAAAAGCATTGGATGCAGCCCAGATTGCACTGCACCAGGTCTGCAGCCAGAACACTCTTAAGTGATGCGATTTCGCAGGTCAGAGTTCACCAAGCCTGAACTTTGCACCGCAGAGAGCTGCGAAACTTAACACATGACCCCGCTTTTCCGGTATGACGCATTCGTGTGCGTTTGAATGGAAGTCTATGGGGAGAAGAGTCAAGTGTGACCGCAGCTTTATGCAGAGACTAATGCTGTGTTCACACCAGATGAAAATCGTGTGAATAAATCGTGATATTCACATGTAAATATATGCTTGAACATTTTGAGTTTACTCCCTTCATTCACGTGTCAAACTCGCTTCATTCGCACATCAAATTCACCTCACGATAGATGCAGATTCGCGTCATGGGCGGGGCTTCTGTCTGCCCAGTGACTCTAGCATTCATTGCTAAATGGCTAACATGGATTTTATTGAGATAGTAGGAAGCTTTAGGAATGCTGAAAAACTGGGGAGATTCGTTCGGTGCCGTGTCTGAGTCCACTATATACTTAAGAGGTGCACCAAACTCTGAGTTCATCAACTCCTTTAGAAACTATACCTGGATGATGGGATGAAGCTTTCAGCAGTGCTTCAGACTGAGCCCAGTTTGCCGAGCTGTTGTCCAGTGTTGGCAGGAAAATTTCCCCTCGGGACACCAACAACAGGCACTACATTATAATCACACATCCACATAAGCAAGCTCTTTACTGGTTAACGCAGCGCTAATGTCCACTGAAGTTCAGATTTTCTAACTCGATCGTTTCACGCAAAACTTGCAAAATCAATCAACTTCCGCCTCTTCATTCGTACGAAATGCATCATTCGCACTGCAGGATGTCTATTTGCGTCTTTGCATTGACTTAACATGTAAATCATTCGCACTTTAGGGCATGTTATATCACTCAGCAGCCATTTTTGAAACTGCGTTCTGGCATTCTGTTAAAATGGGGAAACATCAAATTCTCCAGAATTTACAAACTTACGTCTCAGACCTCTTTCAGAGAATCATCAATCTATAGCTATTGATGATTGGCTCCCCATCATAATCAAGGCCCCTAAAACAGAAAGCTCCTGATTGGTTAACATGGCACGTATGTCTGCCTAATTTCAGATTTTCCAACTCAAGTGATTCGCACATTAAGCTCGCCAAACGCGCAGATGTCTATTCGTATCTTTGCATTGACTTAACATGTAAATTACTTTCGTCAGCGCCAATAGCCTGGTGGTACTGTGCATACCCCAAGTTTGATTTCCGGCTGCACATCCTTCCCCTCTCTCTGCTCCCAATGCTTTCCTGTCTGAAATCTCAACTGTTTTATCATAATAAAGGTGGAAAAAACCCTAAAAATAAATTTATAAAAAAACATGGAAATCACTTTCGCTTGACGATTCATCCGCATCTGGTGTAAACGCACCATAAAGGCTGATTCTGCATCAAGCGCACAGGTTTGCTGTGGCGCAGCCTGCATGTGGTCGTATAGCCCTCGCCATGACCGTCGCCGCTGCTGACTTCTCAACAATTGTAACTACACGTCACAACGAAGCATAGCACAAGCTCTGTGATTGGTCAGCTTGGTGGCTGTGACGAGAGTGGGTGGGGTTGAGAGCTGCGCAACCCAGATGGAGCAACTGTTTACAAGTGTCAAGTTTCATGAAGGAGCTGTAGATGAAAACTGTTGTTTTGTTTTCACCTTATAATTAAAGTTATTGCAAGTCTGCTGGTTCCCACCTCAAAATGAGCAAGTTTGGTAGCGTAAAGGTAGCGTTCAGAAAAAAACAAAACACCAGCGAACAAACTTGACACAGAGGAACATAAACACCTACTACCAGTTAGCATTTTGGAAATCACAGAGCAGCACAAACAGCATGCAGAAGTATAAATGCACGGCAACTCGCATTGCATATGTCGTGGGTCTCGACGCAGAAGTTTAAACCTGGCTTAAGACTGTTAATTTGACTCTCTGGTTATTGCTGTGTATTTCTTTCCTAATCTCAAAAGTTATTTTATGATTTCAAATGTCGTTTTCTGAGCTGTAATAATGAACTGCATGCTAACCAAAGCCATCTTTCTTCTTCAGCACTGTTTACAAGGCCAATCTTGACAATGAGCCCATATGAGGTTTTTGAAGGGGAATTCTTCAAGCTGAACTGCAGCAGTTCAGTGATCTCAAACAAGATCAGCAAAGAAGACATCAAGTATGTTTTGCTTAAAGATGGTCAACGCATTTCTACAAATCCCATCTTTCGCAAATCTGCAAGCCTGGTCAACAATGGCAAATATTCTTGTTGGGCCATGGCTAGAGGTGTTAACAAGACCAGCCTGCCACACCTTTTAAAAGCTAAAGGTGAGGAGTTTATGCTTTTGTCAAATCTGTCATTAGAAAACATGTATATATTATTGAAATACTATGTATTAGCACAGTAGTAAAAACAAATGTTGGATTAACTACAAATATACTCAAGGGCGCCAAGAGTTCTTGAAAAGAGCTATGTAGTAATAATGTAAAAGCCATTTAGGGCGAGGCAGTGGTGCAGTAGGTAGTGCTGTCGCGTCATAGCAAGAAGGTCGCTGGGTCGATCCTCGGCTCAGTTGGCGTTTCTGTGTGGAGTTTGCATGTTCTCCCTGCCTTCGCGTGGGTTTCCTCCGGGTGCTCCGGTTTCCCCCACAGTCCAAAGACATGCAGTACAGGTGAATTGGGTAGGCTAAATTGTCCGTAGTGTGTGTGTGTGTGTGTGTGTGGATGTTTCCCAGAGATGGGTTGCGGCTGGAAGGGCATCCGCTGCGTAAAAACTTGCTGGATAAGTTGGCGGTTCATTCCGCTGTGGCGACCCCGGATTAATAAAGGGACTAAACCGACAAGAGAAAGAAAGCCATTTAAAGACTCTGAAGATACTGTATGTGTTGTGGAATGAATGGATTCACTGGACATTAAAGAGACAGATCACCAAGAATTTAATTTGGTAATCAATTACTCACCCTCATGTCATTCCAAACCCCTGACACCTTCATCTTCTGAACAAAAGTGTGGATTAAATCCAAGAGCTCTCTCGCCTTCCATAGACATCATGAGTCGGAAGGTTTTCAAAATCTAGAAAGGCACCAAAAACATTGTCAAAATAGTCTGTGTCTTCAGTGGTTCAATAATAATGTCATGAAGCTACGAGAGTACCTTTATGGTAATCATTTTATTCAACTTCATTCAATAAATTCTTCTCCTCCCTTAGAATTGTTTACTTTTGAAAGTGACAGCTTTGTAAGAATTAACGCTCCATTCACACGGGGCTTCAGCGTCAACGCTTGACTGAAGGCGTGTCTGAAGTTGGGGCTAAAGCGATCGTCATAGCAGCGTCAGCCAATGAAATTCAGCCAGCAATAGGCCACTGTCTGAGCTGGTGTATTTGCATACAGCGATCTGATTGGCTGACGCTTCCATCGGCGCTTGAAAAGTTGAGCTAGTCCCAACTTCTGCAGCAAGCAAAGCTTCTGAAGTGGCACCGACGGATCCACAATGCAGTTCGGCAACGCCTGACGTCACCCATTCAAAGTGAATGGGAAGCGTTGACGCCCCGTGTGAATGGGGCGTAAGGAAGGCATAGGTATGAGCCCATCCATATAAAATGTGTTGTTCGAATTCCACCTGAAATACTTTATCACTTGATGTCTTCAGAACCTAAACATTTTTTAAGCATTGTGAAAAGGAATGGACAACATTGCAAAGTGGCAAATGCTTTATTGTTTCAACTGTTTTTGAAATGTTCTGCAAGAACCAAAATGGGAATATGTGATTATTTAAAAAAAAGAAGTAAAGAAATCATGTGGAGCACATTAAATATTGTTTGTTGTACTGTCTGCAATGAAATACAAGTTAAGGTAAATTTAGTAATCGCTACTTTCTTTTTTTATTTGTGTTTTCCAAACTGTCCCAACTTTTTTTTTTTTTTTGATTTGGGGCTGTACTTTAAATATGGAAATTAAGGAAACTCTGGTAATTGATTGAGCAAATGCTAAAGTTGTAACCCAATTGAATGGTCTACGCTAAGCTAAACTAAGCTAAGCTAAAAGTAATCCCCGGAGAACAGTTGGAGGCATTAAAAAATTGTAAAACTGAACTGATTCACTTTTAGGCAAATTGTAAAATGAGTCTACTTTCCAAAAGAAGTGGGATTCCTGTAATTGTTTTATCATGCATTTAATTTTCTGTCCTTCTTTTCCAGTGCCTGTTTCAGTGCCAGTCTTGAGTGCTGTTGGTAAAGTGATTGTTGGTCGACCTTTCAAGGTTTTGTGTGAGGCTAAGAACGGAACGCTTCCAATAACCTACACCTTACTGAAGGACCATACTCCAGTGGATAGCAGAGTTGTCAATGGAACTGAAAGAGCGATCTTTACCATCACCTCCATCAGATTTCCAGGAGAGATCGACAGCTTCACGTGTCAGGCTTATAACGGACCAAGGTTCATTAGGACCAGCGACGCTTTAACAGCACCAGTCATAGGTAAGAGAAATACATCATTTGTTTGCCTAATGCTATTATTTTTTACAATTTGGAGATGCATGTTGCTGTTTTTAGATTGTCTTAATTTAGATGCTCTTATCACTGATGGAGCTTTGAGCCTGGTTCCATTTTGATGACTGATTTAATTCCTGTTCATCAAAACCTGCGAGATGATAAAATAAACAAAAGAAAGAAAAATATATTTTTTACTTTATTATTGTTGTATAAATGTACAAAAGTACGTGTGTGTGTGTGTGCGTGCGTGCGTGCGTGCGTGTGCGTGCGCGTGCGTGCGTGTGTGATTTTTCTTTTCATTTGTTATTTGTAGCTACCCTACTGAAAAAAACAGATTAAACCAGCCTAAGCTGGTCAGGCTGGTTTTAACTGGTTTCTCAGGCTGGTTTTAGAGGGGTTTTGCCACTTTTTAGCTGGTCTTAATTGATCAGGTTGGTCTTAGATGGTTTTAGCTGATCAAGCTGGTCATAGATGGTTTTAGCTGGTCAGGCTGGTCTTAGATGGTTTTAGCTGGTCAAGCTGTTTTTAGCTGGTCAGGCTGATTTCAGAGGGGTTTTGGCCACTTTTTAGCTGGTCTTAGTTGGTCAGGTTGGTCTTAGCTGATTTTAGCTGGTCTTGGCTGGTCAGGCTGATTTTAGAAGGGTTTTGGCCACTTTTTAGCTGGTATTAGTAGGTCAGGTTGGTCTTAGCTGGTTTTGGCTGGTCAGGCTGGTTTTAGAGGGGTTTCGGCTACTTTGTCAGGCTGGTCTTAGCTGCTCAAGCTGGCTGTTCTTAACTGGTTGTAGCTGGTCAGGCTGGCCGGTCTTAGCTGGTTTTAGCTGGTCAGGCTGGTCTTAGCTGGTCAGGCTGGCTGGTCCTAGCTGGTTTTAGCTAGCCAGGCTGGGAGACCAGCTAAAATCAGCTTGACCAGGCTGGAAGACCAGCTAAAACCAGCCTGACCAGCCTGGCCAAGCTGAGAGACCAGCTTAAACCTGCCTGGCCAGGATGGGAGACCAGCTACTTCCAGCTAAAACCAGCTAAGACCAGCCAACCAGCTTAGGCTGGTTTTAGCTGGGGGGGGGGGGGGGGGGGGGGGGG